AGACTATTCTATACTCAGCAAACCAAAACCTATAGTCAAGACGCTAAATTTCCAGGTCAGCCTATCTCTCTGGTTAATGACCCATTGCCTCTAAATATATGAGGATTCTAATTTTCAGGATTTATTTCTGCTGAAGCATGTTAGCTTGACTTTTTTATTCTTGCTCTTAAGTACTGCATCTTTACCTAATGCTATAAGGTATTACTTTTCAGCACACATCTATGCACCTATAGTTGATAGTGAGTTGCTGATCCTTCATGTAAAATTGAGAAGCCAGACGCATCTGACAGCCTGGTCTGTGTGGATTTGGAGCAGCCATGAGAGTACACTTTTGTTTTACCTACCTACAAACTCTGATTCTATATTGGGGTCTGCTAGTGGAGACCTGTGTGGAGCCCTATTAACCTCAGTGGGGCTCTCCATGGCCTCAGAGGTTTGTGGTAGTGTGTCCTAATTCAGAATGCAGCCTGTTTCTGTATATTTAAGTATGCAACTTCATTAATGAATACCTGTTAAAATAAATTAACTAAAAAACTGGAAATGTGAAATTCAGTGCTTAATATGTTAGATGTAACATATCTGTCTGCTATCACCATCATACGAACACTTCCATTTAATTTTCTATCTTTATAAAATTTAAATCAAAATTTCTTTTTTTTTTTTTTTTTTAGTGAAGGAAACATTTATTAAAATTTAAATGCTATCCAGGTGTTAACTTGTAGTTTTTCTTAGTAGATTAAAAATAGTATGTCTGTCAGACTTTGCAGAAATCAGAAAATTGAGATTTTGGGGTAAAATTTTCAAAGCATTTAAGTCTCATTTTCAAAAGTGACTCAGGTAGTTAGAAGCCCAAAATTCCATTGAACTTCTGAAAATGGAATTTAGGACCCTATATCACTTAGGCCAGAAGAAAATTTGACCCTTCAGCTTTCTGTTTCCATCACTGGGGTTAAAACACCATACTTCTATACTCATTTGGGGACAATAGAGTTACCAGATTTTTTTTTATAATCTCATCTTTTTGAAAACAAATTGCTAGTTTATAAAAGCCTTAGGGAAATATATTATCAGCTGAAGCTATGCATATTAAAGTACAAATAAAAAGTTACCATGGTAGAAATGTTTTTGCTCTAGTATTTATATATAAATCTGTTTGTTTCTGTAGTTCTTCTTGGAGCTTCAGCAGGCTGCGCTGGAGATTTGTGCAGATAGTAATGCTCTCAGTAAGCTACAGCTAGGACAGCTAGCTTGTATGGAAAGCTCTGTCTTTGATGACATGATTAACCTTCTAGAACGCCTAAAACATGATATGTTGACCCGCCAAGTAGACCATGTCTTCAGGGAGGTCAAAGATGCTGCAAAGCTGTATAAAAAAGAGAGGTGAGTCTTTGTGTTAATGTCTTCTATTAATTTGTTATACAATTTTAAGACTTTTGGCAAAAAACTATGTAATGTAAAAATCTAGTTCTATGAATGAAATGAGATAGATGTAGTAAATTGTTTGGAAAGTGTTATCTGTTTTCTTCACAATTCCTTAAAAAAATATTTTTTTAACTAGATTGTACTTTTCTAAAGCACAGTCCTGCAAACAGTGGAGGCACACTGCAGCAGGACTCCCAGAAGAAATTCTTGCCGACTCTTATCTGACAATAATTGTTTCTTTGGGAATATTAAGGAGCAAGTGTGATAGGGCTTTAAGGGCTACCTCCATTTTCAATAAGTCCTAATATAACTATGAATACTTCTGAATAAAATTGGTAGGCTGCTTTCTAAAATAAAAGTTCTTTTCTGATTTGTTTCTACACATTTGGAGTCTCCCCCCCACCCCGATTTCAGGTGTCCCATCTTACATTCCTGTTACTAAAATATAGGCTTGATATTATTAGAATGATACTTGGTGTAGAGTATTAATCCATAATGCAGACTGATCTTTTTTTGGATATTTGAGAAAGGGGAGGGATAGCCAAAACCTAAGAAAATTAAAAGTGGATGAGATTGTGGCCTTTTGAAAAAGATGAGCTTCATTGCTACTGCCTTCCTGGGAATAACTTTAGTGTAACATGGTGGTGTACATCTGTTTCTTCAGGTGGTTATCTTTGCCATCCCAGGCAGAGCAGGCAGTGATGTCCTTATCCAGTACAGCTTGCCCATTGTTGTTGACATTAAGAGATCGTTTGCTGCAGTTGGAACAGCAGCTTTGTTGCTCGCTGTTTAAAATCTTCTGGCAAATGCTTGCAGAGAAAGTGGATATGTTCATCTATCAAGAGGTAAGCATCTGCAGTTGTGATATGTGCTGTGACAATGAAAGTGCAATTGACTTACCTAAATTAACTTAGTGCATCTGTTTGCATACATATGTAGGTAATTCTGGCTAATCACTTCAATGAAGGAGGAGCAGTACAACTTCAGTTTGATATGACTAGGAATCTTTTCCCTTTATTTTCCCACTATTGCAAAAGGCCAGAAAATTATTTCAAACAGTAAGTAAGCCAATTTCTAAAGTATTAGTATTTCAGAACCAAGTATCCAACTGATCATACCAAGTTCTTACATTGTGTATAAATCAGCATCTTTCATAGTTGCAGCTTGGATTAATTGGGTGAGAAATCTGTTAAAATTATAGTGTTGGAAGTGGAGAGAATCTGTACCACTGTATCAGGTATGATCCTGCAGTTCATACTTAAGCAAAGCCCCCATTGACTCTGTGGTTTGTTCTTTTAGGTTAGCAGTGGATTGTTTGTTACACACAGTCTGGCACTTGCACATTTAGGGAAAACTGGATGGTAAAGCATGTAAACAGCACAAGAAGCCATAGCAGGACAAACCACCAAGAAACAAGGACTTGGGGTGCAGTACTGTGATTCCTACTAAGGCTAATTGCTCTACAAAGTCCAGCAGGATTTCAGCCTAAATAAAGAGTGCAGGAGTGGGTTCAGAAATGTTTAAGGATGAAGGTGATACATTGGTACTGCAATAATACTTAAATGGAAGATGCTATATTTGTTGAGGCTTTTGAAATATTTCTCAAACATTAAGCTTCACACTCCTTTCATGTGTATTATCCCCATTTATAATGGGAAAGTGTAGGCACAGAAATGTATAGTTACAGGGCATCTTCTTGCTTTTTGATGACTTTTGACAGGGAATGTGTTGTTACCTATATATCATACTGTGTTCTTATTTAAGTATACTGAATAAGAAGGTAGTTCATCTTGCTTAACTTTTTACCAATATTAAAATGTAAAAAAGTATTTGCTTTTATTACTTTACTCCATGGGGAAACTAAAGTTAAAAAACAAATGCAGGGACCTGGGTAACTGGAAGCAGTATATGTCAGAAATGGTGGTTATACTCACATTTGTCTCACTGAAAACAAGACATTAAGGTGGATGTCTGCTATATATCTTGAAAGCTGTGGCTGCATTATCTTCTCAGTTTAGGTTTTGTCTTTCAGATATCCAGAAAGGGGAGGTTATTCTTAGTATTTTATTAATGGGATGATCAAAAAAAAAACCCACAGACTGAACATACTGTGTCCTGACATGAAGTTGAAATGAGCACTCCTCTTCAGGCAGTAAAGTGTGTGTATTTTTTCCTCTTATAGCATAAAAGAAGCCTGCATTATCTTGAATCTAAATGTTGGCTCTGCCCTCCTTTTGAAAGATGCACTACATTCAGCCTCAGAAAATGGAACCATCTTGGATCCAAACCAGCCCTCTGCCACAGCAGTGTTAAATGAACTTGGAGTTTACAAATTAGCTCAACAGGATGTTGAGATTCTACTTAATTTGAGAACAAACTGGCCTAATATAGGAAAATAAGTAAAGATCTTCAAGGAAAATGGTTAGAAGTAAAATATCTGTTCTAGGTTATTTATCTGAATAAAAGTGAAGTCAAGCTATTGCATTAGTATACTTTTATTGTATATTCTTTAAAAAACAAAACAAAAAAAACCCCCACAAACAGACCACTAGTACATCTTTGTAAAATGCTGACTTGATCTAGCCTTATGCCTTAATCTTTTTATAATTCTGATTATATGTTGTGCATAGCCATTTTAAAACAGTTGCAATACTGAACTGGTTTCTAACCTAGTATAGTTTAGTCAAATCTGTTTTAATCACTTTTCTCTAACTTGGCCTGTTTTGTAACTACCCCCAACCTAGAAACACAGCAGGCTCAGATCTAGATTGGAGAATGTATTCCTTGTTGAATAGCAAGTGATCTGTTTAGTTGATGATGGCTGTAAGGCGATAATGGTTATGCCTAGGAAACTTTTATGGTTTAGAGTAATATGGAGTAAACTCTGGGTATATATGCTACTACATTCAGTGGTAAACATTCATTCAAATTGGTGCAGTCTCATTTTGGTATATGGACAGTACATAAATGCTCATACATGGGCATTACATACTTAAATGTGTGTGCAGGGGGTGTGGAATGAGGTAAAAGCATGTGTCCATGTTCTGTCTTCTTTGATCATGCTAACTTTTAAAACTAAGTCCTGTTATGGAAACTTCAGAATTGTCTCTTCCTTGAATGTCCAAATCTTTTGTCCTCTTTAAAATGTTCTGAACAGGCCTTGCATACATTGTGACTAGTAAATTTGTTTAAAAATGCCATCACAACTTGTTCAGTTATTGAAATATTATTTATTTCAAATTGCTTATGTTTGGAAATAATGGTTTTGTTGGAATTTTGGGTATCTTCTCCAGGTTGTTCAAAACTATTTTTTCCCCAAGAGTCTTAAAGAAATATCTGGCTTTAAAAAAAACTTTCAGTGCCATAATGGCTGCTGTTCATTGCATACTAGAACAACATTTTGTACAGAAATAGTTTTATATTTGAACCAACACGTGTCAAAGCATTGCCTTCAGCTACTCTGAATAAGTCATTTGTATCACTGTATGGCCCCAAAACATTCTTGCTAGGGAAGATGTTACACTGTTTTGAATTTTTTTTTTGGTAAAGGAAAAAGACGTTCAAAAAGACGCTCAAAAGACGTTCCTCAGGTGTAATGAGTAGTTTCTGATTATTTAAACTAGCACCATATAATTCATCTTTTTACATACTATGCTCATGCTACTCAGTTTATATTTGGATAAGTGAAACACTATCAGTTGCCAAAAGGAAATTAAAATAAAAACAAACTCAAAGATAAGACTTTAAAAAAAAAATTATTTTTAGCAGACAGCTGCTTAAGGTTGATATATTGCCCAGCTCTCCTGCAACAACTTCTTCCTATAGACGAAAAGAAATCTAGTTAGATGTTCTGTAAACAATTTGTTCATTACACATGAGGTTTCAGTATAGAATTTTCTTTCGTACATAGTGTTCTTATCCTCTCCCAAACCACCATAGTTATTTTCCATCATATCTGGGAAGTAAAGATGGACTTGTGTACTACACTTAGTTACCCAGTTCTCATTTAAAAATAACAACCACCTACTTTTCCAGTTCTGTACTCCTCCTCCCAAATAAACACAAACATGCCAAACTGAAGTTGAAGATACTCATGTAAAATTAATTATTACATTTGAGGAGTTTTTTGGTTTGCTCTCCCCTTCCCAAATGTGTGCCTGGGATATAGGGAACTTGTACAGGCTCAAAACAGGCGTTAGGCTCCTACACAATTGTACAGGCTGCCTTGCTTGCCAATCCACCCCTATGGCTTCTCCTGATCCTGGCTGTAAACTGGACTCCAGCTCTGGCATCCTAATTTCCTGCTGCCTACACCTACAGACTGCACTGTATCTCAACAAAGGCAAGTTATTTGAGTAAGAGAGCAAGAGGGCACTACAGACAGGTTCTATAGGACAGACATGGGGAAACAAAATGCTAGTCATCTGCATGCAGCAAAATGTCAAATTCTATGCAGAACTGCTCAATTCTTTGGAAAAATGCCAATTTGCATAGCCTTGATAACAAGACTCCATAGGGTTTTGAGATGAATAGGGGAAACTAATTCCTCTAACTGTATCAGGTGATAAGCAGGCAGGTGGCACTACATTGGTTATGCTTAGTTCATGTTTTCAAGGTTCTCTCTGTGCTCATAATTTAAATGCTGAGATTCTGGAGCACAACTCTGGAATCTCAGCATCCAACTCCACAGCCAGTGAATTTGCTGCATCGAATACACATAGCCCTGATTAAAATGTTAGTCCAAACCACACAAATTTTATTGGCTCAGTTGCTGGTGTAGTGGTTGTTCTAATCTTAATAAAAAATAAAATGACTGGGCTGTCTATAAAATACAATAGTAGTTTTAACTCTATAATACTGAGGCTTTATGTACATGTATTGACTGAGTATGCCACCCCCTATAGTTAATTAGAACTGAAAGGTTTATCACTGCAAACACAGATGCTCCTGTGTATAGGAGGAGATTACCAGCACTACTCTGAATCCCCAGAATATCCATCCAAGCTGCAGATATTTATTCTGATCAATTCCCTGTAGTACTGATTTCTGATATTTGGGATATTTTCCCAAATGACAATGTCAACTGGTAAAAAATTTTAATGCAAGTATCATTTCCATATATGGCTTTCAAGGAGACTGCTTTCAGAGATGACAAGAAAATCATTAAAAAGAAAAGGAGTACTTGTGGCACCTTAGAGACTAACCAATTTATTTGAGCATGAGCTTTCGTGAGCTACAGCTCACTTCATTGGATACATACCGTGCGTTTCCATGGTATGCATCCGATGAAGTGAACTGTAGCTCACGAAAGCTCATGCTCAAATAAATTGGTTAGTCTCTAAGGTGCCACAAGTACTCCTTTTCTTTTTGCGAATACAGACTAACACGGCTGCTATTCTGAAGAAAATCATTGCTGTGCAGTCGGTGCAAATACTCTTTAGAGCAGGGGTCGGCAAACTTTTTGGCCCAAGGGCCACATCTGGGTATGGAAATTGTATGGCGGCCATAATTCTCATGAAATTGGCGGTTGGGGTGAAGGAGGGGGTGAGGGCTCCGACGGGGGGTATGGTCTCTGGGTTGGGGCCAGAAATGAGATCAGGGTGCAGGAGGGAGCTTCGGTCTGGGGCAGGAGGCTGGGGATGAGGGGTTGGGGGTGCAGGAAGCTGCTCCAGGCTGGGACCAAGGGTTTGGAGGGTGGGAGGGGATCAGGGCTGGGGCAGGGGGTTGGGGTGCAGGCTCCGGGTGGCGCTTACCTCAAACAGCTCCCAGAAGCAGCAGCATGTCCCCACTATGAGGAGGCGTGGCTAGGCGGCTGTGCGCGCTGCCCTGTCCGCAGGCGCCGCACCTGCAGCTCCCACTGGCCACGGTTCCCAGCCAATGGGAGCTGCGGGGGCAGCGTGCAGTGCCCCTTCGCTGTCCCTATGCATAGGAGCCGGGGGGGGGACATGCCACTGCTTCTGGGAGCTGCATGGAGTGGGGCAAGCCCCAACCCTGCTTCCTGGCAGGAGCTCCAGAGACCAATTAAAACATCTGGAGGGGCGGATGTAGCCCCCCGGGCCATAGTTTGCCCACCCCTGCTTGAGAGAGAACAGTGGCACCAATAGCAAAATATCTGACCTACTTGTAGAAATATGATGACTTTCAGAACTGTGAGCTTTTTTGCTAGTGCTCCCCATGGTACTCCATATATTAGAACATATTTTTAAACTTTTCCTCAGTCTATCACTACTCGTTTATTATGATCCACCTCACAAGGAAAACTAAATGTAATCCAATCGCTTCTAGTTTAAATTTGACTTAAAAGTGACGTTTTTATTTTTTAACATAATTAAAGGATATGAACATAAGGTGACAAGTGCCTGATATTCAAACTGAAGTTGAGCAGCTGTGACTAGATTTAAGACCTGATTCTAAAAATATCATTATGCTTTTTAATACTACTTTTTTAAACAGCTTAATACAAGAATTCATGCAATTACACTTAGCTACAAATCTTTATCTCCCCCACATAAAGCCAAAGGGTAAAAAAGTCACTTTACTTACACTTCTTTCTTGAATATTTCCAATGTGATAGTTGCATCTTCTTCATAAGGCAAATCTTGAGTACTTAACCCCAAGGTTTTGAGAGCTATAAAGGTTTTTAAAAGAGAATCCTTTTAAACCTTGCAATGCAAACCCACAGAAGTCTAATTTTACATCCAAAATGTACTACTTTTTTCTGAGTCACAAAGATCTAGCTGGTAAACAAAATATAACTTTTTAACGTTGCCAGCTCTAGTGTAGATTATTTTTAGACCTTATTGGTCAAATATTGTATACAAGAGCGGGGAAGGGAGTGGTGGGAGGTGTCTCTCTTGTTTTGCAATAAGTAAATCGTTTTTCTATCAATGCTAAATTCTGACAGGTTGAGAAATTTCTTTAATGAAACTATCTCACATTCTTTTGAGCAACAACCTTGCATTTTATAGCCTAAATATTCTGCACTGTATTAAAGTTCTCATCTGTAAATAAATAAAAAATCATGTTAATTAAAAAATGCTAAGCAAGGAAGACAAACCTCCTTTGTACTGCACTAAAGTTATATAGCCTTGACTTGCAGTGTCCAGCATTTCAAACATGGCATCCAAATTTGATTCATCCACAAGATAAGGATATTCTGCATCAGTTAGTTTTGCAAGCTTCACTCTTTCCAGTGCATGTATCAAAAACTCTCTTGGTCTTTCTGTAAAAGAATAAAGTTAACAAATCTTGTTGATACTATACATTTTTTTAAACTAGGTTTACTAATTCTTAGCATTAAATGCAAAAACTGCACTACAGTACAGTAGGATTTATTGTTTTTATCTATACTGCACTAGCAGTGTAACTTCACTGAATATACACTAGTGTAAAAATAAATGTAATCTAGTTACCAGTTAATTCTTCAATCCTATAATTAATGTAAAATATTACATTTCTGACAATCTCAAGGAAATACAAGTTATGGCAAAACCATTGTTCTGTGTGCACCATCATGCAAATTAAAATCTCATATCAGATTGAATGCTAACAAAAGAATAGGAAGGGGCTGCTGTACCATTAAAGGTTATCTTCCATTGGATGCTGTGTTTAAAAAGTGCTATCTCTCCAGGTTATAATTTAAGATGCCATAGCAGTTAATGAAATGGGTGAGGAACAAATAGGTGTTCATATACTATACTGCTGAATGCTCTAGATTAATTTCCTATAAATAAACCAACTGCTGGTTGTCAACCAATGTTCCACCTCTCAGTAAAACAGATTCTAATATCCAAGGCTCATGTGAGCAACTGTTGTGTGTACGTTAGCGGCCACGTTTGATTAAAGGCCCTGAATTTAATGCATTACATTGTAAAATACTTTGACACCAGTGAAGTCCATGGCAAAAAACTCCCATTGATTTCAGTGGGGCCGAAATGTCACCATTTGAGTATAAAAAGGTGTTAAATCAAATTTTATTTTGTATGTAAAGTAATGTAATAGTGGCTATAGGCTATATTAACCATATCTTTCTAGTGCTAGAGCTGTTTGTATTTTGTATACACAATAGCAACTAACTTAAATAGAAAAAACCTGAAATTTTGAAATATCAGTCACTTCACCCTAAAGCTTGCTTTCGGTTACTTTATAAACATATGCTGACTGTCCCCTAGAGCCTTGCAAAGGGGCAGTGGGGCAAACTGCTAGCTTATAACCAAGGCCTTATGTACACTTTATGGCACATTAAATCAAAGTTATATGACAAAACCCTCAGAATTATTTAGCAGCGCTGCACTGAATTCTACAGCAAAGTGAATGATTTTATAAGCACTTAACCTTCAGTTTTAATGAAGTAATTCTAAAAACGAATTGAAATGTGAAAATATGTCACTACTGTCTATAATAAAATTTGAAGCATAGCAGATTCCTGCAGAATTTAAGCACTCCAGAGGCATGACGGTCTTTGGAAAAATTACAACATACATATAAAAAGCTCTTCTGTCAATGAAGTGATTTTTTTAATTGCCCATTAATGAGTCTTGTTAAATTTACAGCTAAGGTACTGGTATTTTACAGTCATAGGAAGTAAGGCAATTAAAAGAATCATTTGCAATATTTTAATAGAAGTTGTGTGGAACCATAAATCTGCTAAGGGTATGGCTATACTTCACACCACTTGTGGAAGCATGTAGGACCATATGGAGCTACATGCCCCAAGAAAAAGCAAGCTGCATCCACACTGCAGTGTGTAGCTGCATACAGCAGTGAAAGGTTTGTGCAGAGGGAAGACAATGGTACTTGGGCTTTTAGACAGGTTTGAAGCAACTATATAAATAATAATCAGCCTTTAGGTTGAAGAAGGGAATCTATGGTTAATTAATGTCTGGTGATATCCTGCATCAACAATTGATAAACATCCAATACTCTGCATGCAGTGTCAGTGCAGTCAAATAACGTACAACACCTCGCTGCCCACATGCAAATAACTGTCCTAGCCCGGGCTAGTCATTTTGACATTATTTTCATTATAGTACTGGCTCGGGGTCCTACCCAAGGGCCCAATAGGGCTAGGTGCTGTACAAATGAATAATACAAAGCCATTGTGCTGAGCGAGCTTACAATCTAGGTTTAGGACAAGCTGCATAGATGCATTAAAGAAGGTGGGGAAAGAAGCGATGCGGTAATATTAGAGCACATTTTCACACCCGTAGCAGGCTCTTCAGTTCGAGCAGAGCTGGCAGCGTCCTGCAGGCATCACAGGCGAGGGGAACGCGCGCGCCTCCACGGGGGCTTTTCCCAGCTGCACGGGATGAGCCCGAGAGGCACGTTCTCCCACCTCACGCCTCGGCTGTCCTGGCGGCCCATAAATCAGGGTTTGGCGTGACCCAGCGCACTGAGGGAGGGGGGACACACCACAGATTTTTGTTTCCCTTCAGCCAATCCCGCGCCCCGCAGCCTGCGCTTGGGGGTGGGGGAGCGTTTCTGCCGCGCTGCAGCCGGCTGTGAATGGTTATAGCCGGCCCGGGTCTGAGCCCAGTCACGCATTCCCGACGGACCCGGCTACCCGCTGGCAGCCCTGCACCGGGAGCAGCAGCCGGGGCGGGGGCATGGAGCCCCGGCCGGTCTCCTGCCAGTGGCTCAGCGCTCCGCCAGCCTCCCGGGGACCCGCCGGAGCCCCTTGGGCCGAAGCCCGGCCGGGGTGGCGCCGCGCCTCCAGCGGGGCGCGCGTACCGGGCCGGTGGTAGAGCAGCAGCGCGCTCAGGTTGTGCAGCAGCTCCGGGATCTTGTAGCGCTCCAGGTACTCGCGGCCCTGCTGCTCGCCCGTCGCCGCCATCCCGCGTTGCTAGGAGACCGGCCACGCGGCCACACCTCCACCACGTGACCCGCCCGCGCCCGGGCCGTGGCTCGCAGACGAGTGCAGGCCCCGCCCCCGCGATGCGGGGACAGGGCGGGGCGGGGGCCCTAAGCCGGGACCAAACGCAGCCTGGCGCCGCTGCCGGGAGGGAGGTGGCTGCACGCGAGCTGGGCAGGGCCCGCCACCGCCTGCTGCTGCTGCTGCTGCGGCGCGGTCGGGGACAGGGCTGAGGGGGCCCTGCAGTGCGAGAGGCTGTTAGCTGGGGGGCTTTGCTGCTGAGGGTCACCGAGCATGCTCAGTAACAGCTGCTGAAGCCCCTGCCCTTCACCCCGCCCTTACTTGGCACCCGATGCTGCGAACTGTGCTTTACAGGGGCTAAAACGGGCAAAGCGGAGCGGGACGGGCAGGGGGCAGAAATGGACCGAGAACAGTTTCTCGCGCTACACCGGACAGGAGCGCCTTCCCCCTCCCCCCATTCCCCCCCCGGCCGGTGCCAGCGGGGACCACCGCAAGCAGCCCCACCCGCCTGGGGGCGGTTCCAGCGGCGCCATCCCGTCAGACCCGGGGCCGCGCGCAGGTGCCGAGGAGAGCGTGTGGCGGTTGGCGCGCGCGGCGGGGCGGAGACGCAGCTCTGGGGTGAAGGACAGAGGCTGGGCCGAGCCACTGAGGGTGGCACACCGTGCCAGGGGCAGTCCGGATGGGTGGCCCGTCCTGGGGGCGGGGCAGTGGCAGAGTTGGGGCCCCAGAACATTTTTTTACAACGGGTTTATACTGCTGGGGGGATGCACTAACAAGGGTAACACTTCACTAAGCAGGCAGGCTGCTACCGTCTGCTCTGCCCAGGGGACAGAGCCTGCCCCTCGGAAACACCCCAAAGACCTGCCCCTCCATGCCCAGCGTGCTGCAAGAGGGGCAGAGTGGCTCTCGCTCTCTGACTGCCCAGCCCTCCTGGCCAGCCCTGATTTACGTCTCTACCGGCTGCTCCGGGTGCCCAAACTGACCCGTCTGCCCTGCCGAGGAGGGGCACGTGACGGCTCCTGCGGCTGCCCTTTGCGTCCCCATCAGAAGTCATTTTTCTGTGGGGAAGCAAAGAAATCGGGGTGGAGGGGGATCAATTCTGTGCAGTGATGCAGAATTCCTCCAGGAGTAAAGACTTCACCCACCCCGTTTTTGTAGCTGCGCATTCCTCGTACATCAGGTTTTCTAAACCTCTTCTGTGTTGTTGCTCTTTTCTGGACTCTTGTTTAGCCAGGTATTTTCTAAAGTGCAATGCCCAGAACTGGATGCAGTACTCCAGGTCAGGCCTACCCTGTACTGAGTAGAGGAAGACAGTTACTTCCCCTCTCTTACTCCCCAACACTCCTGTTACTAATGCCCCAAGTGCTACTGCCCTTTTTCAGGAATGCATTCTTTGTCTTAGATTCAATTTGTGATTCATGGTAATGCCCAGATCCTTTCCCACAGTACTACCACCTCTCTGGTAAAGAGGGTGATTAAACCCTATTTGAGTAGATGAGGCCATTCAAAAAGGAGTAGCAAGGGATAAGGAAATGGGAACAAAAACTTGAGCCTGAAGGGCTCTAGCGGAATTGGGTGGAAGAGATGTCAGAGTGGCTGGAGAAGTAAGGAGAACCCAAAGAGGACAGTGTCTCAGAACCCAAGAAAAGATAGGCCATCGGGGGGAGGGAGTATAGGGTTTGGCAACAGAGTGGCCAGGTTGGCCGAGGCTGCCAAGTAGGGTTTAAGATTTAACCAGTAAAAGATCATCTCAGATCTTGGTGAGCGCTATTTCTGAGGAATGGAAAGGATGGAAGCCAGACTGAGTGGATCTAGTGCTTAGTTTATATAGAGCCACTCTGTGAATCCATGGAATTCGCACACCTTGAATACTACATGCAGTTCTGGTCACCCCCATCTCAAAAAAGTTATAATAGGAAAGTACAGAGAAGGGCAACAAAAATCATTAGGAGTATGGAACAGCTTTCTTAGGCAAGATTAAAAAGATTGGGACTGTTCAGCTTGGAAAAGCACTGACTGAGCGGTGATATGACAGAGGACTATAAAATCATGAGTGGTGTGGAGAAAGTGAATAAGGAAATGTTACTTATCCCTGTCACATAGCACAAGAACCAGGGATCACCTAATGAAATTAATATGCAACAGGTATAATACAAACACAAGGAAGTAATTCTTCACACAATACACAGTCATGTGGAGTTTGGTGCCAAGGGAAGCTGTGAAGGCCAAAAGTATACTTGGGTTAAAAAAAATAACTAGATGAGTTCATGCAGGATAGGTCTGTCAGTGGCTGTTAGCCAAGATGGTCAGAGTTGCAACCATGTTCTGGCTGACCCTAAACCTCTCTTAGAAGCTGGGACTGGATGACGGGATGGATCATTTGATAAACTGCCTTATTCTGTTTGCTCCCTCTGAAGCATCTACCACAGGCTGGTGGTAGAAGACAAGATATTGGGCTAGATGGACCATTGGTCTGACTCAGTATAGTTATAAATTCTTAGTGTGATGGAAAGAAGTCAATACAGTTGGTGTAAAAAGCCTGCTCCCTGATTCTAGATGTCCCTTCAGGGGAAGAGGGAGTGCTGCTCTGCAGAGACAAAAGGCTCAGAGGTGGTTGGTACACAGGAAAAGGATCCAGAGGAGATTGTGAGGAAGGAGGTGGGAAATAGCTGTCAGGAGAGGATAGGGACAAGGAGACAGAGGGACTGGAAGAAGAGAGCAGACAGTTGGTGACTGTCAGAATATCCTCTTCAAGAAATCAACCCTGAATGATACCAACTTAGTGAACCCTTTAAGTCAGCTTATAACACTGGAAAGTGCTCCCCCTCTAGTAAGTGATTTAGCAGTGTGCAATTTTATTGTGTACTCTATGTTCTTTAAGTGGAAGGCTGAAAGTTCAGCCATCTAGACTCCACTACACTAGCATTGTAACTGAAAACCTTAGCTCAGGCCTACCCTGTACTGAGTAGAGGAAGACAGTTACTTCCCCTCTCTTACTCCCAAAGTACTCACTTTGTAGCACAGTTGCATTTAGTTAGTATCCAGGAAAGCAAATTATACTCTGTTGATCTTAACATTTTCTGAAAGTGCTGTGAACATCAGCCACATTTCTTTCCTTTTGTGGTAATGTGATGTAGTCCTTTAATAGTCTCTCAAGTCTCCTTCCCGCTGGACTGGCTTAATGAGGTAACTGTTTTAATTAGCCCCTTACTAAGAGTTGTTTGATGTCTCTATGTCCGTTGAGTGTCTGCAGAATACTTTGTCCTAGGATAACAAAATGTCCAAGTGCCATCTAGTGGAGCCTTGTTAAATGTATGGCTCAAAATAATTAGTGTTATGTTGACAGCTTCTCACTGTTATATCCTGGGGTCTTTAATCATGCAAAACTCCCACTGAAGTGATTTGGTCAGGTACAGGTTGTGAAATTTGACATTGAGAGATTTTTAAAAAGCTGATTGCTTCTTCCCCTCCGCTGCACAATCTAGACCGGGTGGGCAAACTATGGCCCACGGGCCACATCCGGCCCATGGGACTGTCCTGCCCAGCCCCTGAGCTCCCAGCTGGGGAGGCTAGCCCCTGGCCCACTGTCCCCACTCCCCCGCAGCCTCAGCTCACTGTGCTGCTAGTGCTCTGGTCCACTGCTCCTGGCAGGCAGCACAGCGGTATGGCTGGCGCATGGTAAGGGGGCGGGGAGTGGGGGCTACAGAAGGGCAGTCAGGGGACAGGGAGCGGTTGGATGGGGTGGAGGTTTTGGGGGGGGGGCGGTCAGGGAATGGGGGGCTGGATAGGCATGGGAGTCCTGGGGGGCCTGTCAGGGGGCAGTTGGATAGGCGTGGGAGTCCCAGGGAACCTGTCGGGGGCAGGGGTGTGGATAGGGGTCAGGGGACAGGGAGAAGGGGGGTTGGATAGGGGATGGAGTCCCAGGGGGGTGGTTAGGGGCAGGGGTCCTGGGATGGGGCGATCAGGGGACAAGGAGCAGGGGGGGTTTGATGGGTCGGGATTCTGAGGGGGATGGGAAGTGGGAGGGGGTGGATAGGGGACAGGGGCCAGGCTGTTTGGGGAGGCACAGCTTTCCCTACCCGGCACTCCATATAGTTTTGCAACCCCGATGTGTCCCTCAGGCCAGAAAGTCTGCCCACCCCCAGGACCGGCTCTAGGCACCAGCAAAGCAAGCACGTGCTTGGGGCGGCACATTTCCAGGGGCGGCATTCCAGCCATCCTTTTTTTTCAGGGCAGTTGCGCTGTCGGAGCTGCGCCACTTAGATGGGGCGAGGGCGCCGCACCCCTGGCCGCGGCAGAAAGGGGAAGCCCCAGCCCTGGGATGCTGCACTGCCAGAGCCCAGCCACTACCTGGGGAGGAGAGGGCAAGCCTGCCGGGGAGCCGCGGCTGTGCCACTTCATCTGCGCACTGGCTGCTGCGCTGCCTTGTGCTACCCCTTATATCGGGGCTTCTCTGCACGGCTGGGCAGGGGAGGGAGTAAAGCCCCCGCAGGCACTGGGAGAAGGTGACATCACTCTCTCCGGTTCCAGCGCTGCCTGCGAGCCCCAGCCCCACCTGAGCTTGGGGCAACAAATTTTTTGCTTGGGGGTGGCAAAAAACCTAGCGCTGGCCCTGCCCACCCCTGATCTAGAGATGCTTCAGCTCCATATTTCAGTTTAGTCTGATAACTGCTATGCCTAAACAAATGTGTGAAATGTGGATGACTCAGGGAAACCTCTCTCCACATACAGAATCAATGATCACAACCGGGAATAAGAAAGAGGATGTGCCAGTCACACTGGAAACCTTGGGATGAATGCCTTTGTAGACAGTGTGAAAGGGAAGATCAAAACTGAAACAGTCTTTCTATTCCCCCAAAATATGAAATAGATGCTTAAGAGTAAGATTAAAAAACAAAAGAAACTGAGTATAGCTCTGGAAGGAATAAGCAAGAGGGGAAAGATGCAACAGCGGGCCACCAAATCAGAAACAGACAATAATGATTACTGGGTAAGTGGGGGATTGTCAGGGTTCCTTCCCCACTCTGAACTCTGGGCTACAGATGTGGGGAGCCGCATGCAAGACCCCCTACGCTTATTTTTACTAGCTTAGGGTTAAAAACTTTCCCAAGGCACAAATTCCACCTTGTCCTTGAACAGTATGCTGCCACCACCAAGTGATTTAGACAAAGAATCAGGGAAAGGACCACCTGGAGTTCCTGTTCCCCAAAATA